TTAGTTAGTTAGTTTATCCGGACTCTCCTTCATGAGAGCGGAATGTAATAACTTGTATATCTTCTAACCCCACGTCTCTCTCCCTTTTATTTACTAGCTCATGATGGTTAGTTTAGGGTATCATGTTTAATTTAGCATATTTCATGATTTGAATCCACTTGTATTGCATGCACCGAGGCTCGATTCATCGTTCTAACTTGCATTGTCGTTTAAATACTTCTTTGAATACATGCTTAGACCGCATGCTATCAAATTGATTCATATACCGTATTAGTAGTTGAGCGTAGTAATTGCATATCGCATGCGCTGCATTAGTCATATTGTATAGTTAGGATTATGCATTGTTCTAACTCTTTCATCTTTTCGGCTTGGAGTACTAGGTGAGCCTTTACTCGCTTTAGCATATCGCATGTTGATGCTGCCATATGTAGCATGCTTGCCATAAGGCTAAATGCTTAAATGATAAATTGCTTGAATACCTGTGGATGAAGGCTAGTTGCTTGAATTGAAATAATTTGAGTAATGTTTATATACGATCACTTTTTCAAGTGGTACATATTTCGAAACAATTTTCAAAACAAACATGAATCGAAATGTTCCAATTCTTGCAAGTTGGTCTATACTTGTGTGTGTGTGCATCACATGGTAATGCTAGCCTAATAAACCGGAATAAGAGCATATAATGTACATAAAATTCATTGCATGATTAGTATAGGCCGATCTTTGATCGGGCAAGCAAGGTGCTCAATTTATGACCTTTCCCTCTCATACCTAAGTTCCCGAGCCGAGACAATCTTGGTGATGACGGACATGTGGCCTTTGGCACGAGTCATGGGTTTCCTAAATTTTTCAAAAATAAAACATTTAGGTGGCGACTTTGTATCTGGCAAAGCAGTCTATTTTTGGCAATTTGATTCAAAATTGATTTTTCAAAAGATTTGTCGGATTGGGACTCTTTGGTTTTTATCTATTTCACATTGTATTCGTGAGATCGGATTTAGAACCGTGGGAGTCCGACACTGTATGGCTCATTCGACTTTCGAAAGGGGGCGTGAAAAAGTCGAGCTACAAGGACCGTATACAGTCCAAGGAGCTCTTCTCATCGTTGATTATTGGAAACCGAATCTACTCCTAGATAGAATGAGAGTGGTGCGTTTTGTGGTTTGGGTAAAGTTACATGGTTTACCTTTAGAATTATGGGTGCTCGCGGTTCAGTTTTAGACGGTTCGATTTACGGTTTGGACTCACCCGCATATGTGCTGTTTGGAAAAAATTGAATCTGCAACCGCCCACAATGTGGGTTGTGGTTTGTGCGGATAGGGTTCATGGATGTGCAGACGGTTGTGGGCGATTTGCAGATTGAACTTTTTTCTTTAAAAATTTATTTTTGGACCTTTTTTCTCATTTTGTAAATATTTATTTTGGGCCCTTTTCCTCCCATTTTCTAAAATGCTCAACATTAATAATTAATGAATTAAAACTTATTAAATTACAAATAAAACAAAATCAATTAATGAATTAAAACTTATTAAATTACAAATACAACAAAATCAATTCCTAATACAAGCAAATCATTTAAATCCTAAACTTTTAAATAAAATCATAAACTAACACAAGTATATCTTTCAAAATTTTAAACTAAATCATCAAAATCATTCACTACTCAACAATACAATTACAGTAAAATCATTCAAAATCCTAAACTTATCTAAATGTAATTCTTCATTAACTTTTTTATTCATCCAAAATATAATAATAAAATAATAATAAATTGTTGTCAAATTTCATCGAATTCAAACCCATTAAGAGATTAGGGTTTGGTTTGTTGGGCAAAAATATCTAGGATAGGATGAATGAAATCAACGGTCCAGGTTTTAGGAGGGGGGAAAAGTCTAAGTGCGGGCGAGTTTTTGCAGGTACGGGTGAAACCCACAACCCACTATAACAAAAAGCAGATTTCGCGACTAAAACTGGATTTTTCGTCGCTAAAAGTAGTAGAATTGGTGACTAAAATGAAATTAGTCGCCAAAATTGATCACTTTTGCCGACTAAAAGAGTTTAGTCGCCGAATATAAGGGTTTTAGCGACCAAAAGTCAGTTTAGTCGCTGAATATAGGGGTTTTAGCGACTAAAGGTTTTTTAGTAGCCAAAAGTGACATTTTTTGGCAACTAAAATAATTTAGTAGCCAAAAGTATAGGTTTTGGCGACTAAAAAACAGTTTGGTCGCCAATTCTACGTGATTTGGCGACTAAAAACAGTTTGGTCGCTGAAAGTGAAGCTTTTTGGCTACTAAAAAAAATTAGTAGCTAAAAACAGTTAATTGGCGACTCAAATTTAGTTTAGTAGCCAAAAGGGGACGTTTTTGGCGACTAAAAACAGGTTTAGTCGCCAAAATTGGTTTTTTTTAGGCGGGAATGAATTTTTTAGCGACTAAAAACTAATTAGTAGCCAAAACTATACAATTGGTGACTGAAAAATAGATTTAGTCGCTAAAAGTGATCTAATCTTTTTTTATTAAATAATTTATTTTTTACATAAATTATATTGAATAAAAATAATTATTTTTATATATATAGTTTTGTATAAATACCGGTCAAAGTAATATATAAATAATATATGTTGCAATTATATTCATGTGATGTTGTAATGGCATAGTGGGGAGAGTGTGTTGGTAAAGGTTTGGAATGTGGGATGGGTCGGTGGTTCAAATCTTGGGAATAGTAGAGGGTAAATTTTTTTTTTTTTCTGAAATATGCTTTTGGCGACTAAAAACAGTGGTCACCAAAAGATTGACTATTGGCGACGAAAAGCTTAGTCGGCAAATGTATAAATTAAAAAAAAAATAATTCACTATTGGCGACTAAAAATTAGTCGCTAAATGTATAATTTTCAAAAATGTAATTGACTATTGGCAACAAATTCTTTGGTCGCTGAAGACTAAAACTTTGCCGACTAAAATTTTTTTAGTCGTCAATACCTCCACCGACCTTCTATTCGCGACAAGACCAGCGACTAAAATATTTAGTCGGGGAAAGTGAAAAGTCGACTTTTGGCGACTAAAAATTTAGTCGCCAAAGGTGTTTTTTCTTGTAGTGACCCGCTCGTAACCCGCAATAATGCCATATTTCAAACCGCATCCGCCCGCATTGTCTTTGCGGAACCGCCTATTTGTATGTGAATCGGTTTGGGTTAGGCGGGTTGGGCGGTTCAGATAACCCTATGCTCAGCCCTACTTAAAATGTATTTTAGTGGAGGCTAGATTTCAATTGGGTCAGGCCATTGGGGAGGTGCTTAGGGTGAACTATGATGAAGGTACCCCACAAAATATTTGGTTTTTGCGGATTCGAGTGAGGACTCCTATGGATCAACCTCTTATTAGTGGCTTTTTTCTTCAATGGCAAGATGCCCAAGATCGCTGGATCAAATGCTACGGATTTTCAAGATCTATCGTAATTGTGGCAAGATTGGACATACCCTTAATCAATGTGATATTCCTTTTGAAGCGGCTCAAGAAGGAATTGATAACTCACAAACATCACATCCAACTATAAAAAAATCAAACTATTTTCTCAAATACAAATTTTAGCCTCCTAAAATAATCAAAAACTAAAATAGCCTACTAAAATAGCAACTTCCCAAACACCCACTAGTTTTTGACTCATGTATGCAAGGGTTTTATTTTAAATTTTAATTTTTAAAAAATGTTAATAGTTGTATATAGAACAAATGTATAAAAATACATTCAATGTATGAATTTCTAATTTTTTTTATATGTTGTTTGATTTTAACGAACGTCTAATGAACCATCATTAGCAAGACTGTTAAGTATATCAGATTGTGTTTTAAAATTAGTTTGTGTAAATATGTATGAATAATTGGTTACAATATTAATAAATAAGAAATTATGAAACTTCATATAATAGTTGCACATAAAAATATAAAAGTACATATAAATTAAAATTAAAATTTGTTCTTAAAAAGTATCAACAAATAAAACTTATTCAAAAGTTTAAAATGTATTTTTTTTTCTAACTAAAAAGAGAAAAAATTTCAATAAGGACTTAATATACTAATTAATACATATAGCATTACTCATATTATATTGCTAAACCTCTTCGTTATATTAACTCAACACCTTGTTTTATATGATATTGCTGAAATTGTTTTAAGCACTACATTTATTTTCAATCATTAGATTGGTGCTTTTGACTCCTTAGACATGTTAAAATGCATTACAATCATTTCAATCATAAGAGGTTGTAGTTGAAGAGAATGGATTGGCCTGATTAAGGGTTAAAAATCATTTCTATGGACAAAAAACATATTTTACATTTTTTAATATTTAGTACAATGTAAAATAAAAATCGATGAAAAATATTTTTTATGATCAATAGAATAAAAATATTTTTCGAATTAAAATTTTACTATTATAATCACATTTTTCCACCACTAACACCTCCACAATCACACCACCACCACCACAGCAACAATCACCAACTCCGTCGCCATCGCCACACCACCAACTTCACTTTCACCTTTGTCCCACCGCAACAAACATAAAAATTATAAATTTACGGCCATATTATGAGCATATAAAGATTTTGAGTGTGTTCAGAATTTGCATTGCCACCCCCACATCACCACACTTTCACCGCCCTCACCCACTTCCTCCACCCCTTTCCCACCGCCTCCATTTCTTTCTCTCCTATTCCAGTGCATCCCCTCCATCACAGCCTCCCTTGTGAGTCACCATCTCTCCAACCATCACCACTTTTCTTTCTCTAACAAAATTTCCTAAACCCTCCCCAAAAAACAAATAATATAAAAATATAAAAATAAAAATGCATCTATGGTTGTGCATAGTTGACTATTCAACATTGTAAAAATTAATTGAGCTCTGCCAACAAGTGTGTAACATATCCAGGATGAATTCTGAAGATTATTAAAGGGTTAGGCTGCTAGGCATGCAACATATTTTTACATACACAAAAACAACTTGTCCAACCTCATCTAACCGGAAGCTTATTGCAAGCAACATTTATCTATCTGCTTAACCATAACACGATATTTTAAATTACAAAGCATTTCACAAGACATGAAATATAATTGCAGACATCTCTCACTTGCACACCCTATCTTAGCCAGAGCAAGAAAATTTTGGCTCATTCCAGTTCCTTCAGATATAAATCACACAAATTATATAAATATTAATATATCACACCAAACTCTAACTAGCAAAACTACTTAAAATGAAGCATTGGTTGAACTGGATAATTACTCCATCCATAGATACAATAGGCTCCGATCAGATGCATAATTTATAGATTTCAGTGTGGTTCAGACATTCATGAAGTAGTTGCGAACAACATCACAACATTTAGTAGCCTATTTAAATTGGGGACAATTGTTGCGCATGAATTCACACATCGTTTCTTTCTCGCTAAGGCACTGCATGATTGAAGAAAAGGAAAAACAAATGTTATAACTCTGGACAACCTCACGATTATGTAACACTAACAACTTGTTTAGTAAAAACACAATCGATAATTTAAATAATTAGTCCATGTTATTCATTCTCAAGTAGAAAAAGCAAGAAACGGTTATTTATATCACATGTACAAATATCTACAAGCTCCTAAAATAAACACAATTTACCTTCTTGTACTTCTCATAAGATATTCTGCAGTATCGAGGGTTCTTTTCCCTTTTATGCCGCACGTAATCTATAGGACGGTCAAAACCTGCAGCAGTTGCCTTTTTCTGGAGAGATTCCTCATATTCTGCACTAAAAAGCAAGATCCAACACAATTCAACCATGTATATAACAAATTTTCTTGGGTTAAATTACAAATATACCACTGAGGTCTATCAAAAGTACAAATTTTCTCATAATTTGACAAATTTCAAATATCCCCTGTCAACGATTGTCTCTTAAATTAATAGAATTAATAGATAATGTAAATTACCTAATTACCCTCCAATATCTAAATAAATTTACCCTAATAACTACACCTCCTTCCTCCATTATGCAAACCCGTGTCCACCCTCATCCACTCTCCTTTGCCACCCCCACCCCTTCGCATGCTCAACCAACACCCTTTTGCAGCCATGGACAAGAAAAGCTAGAACAATTGCCCTCTATATTAGCTTCTCTCTCAACTTGTCCTCAATCCCCCTTTGTTCCTTTTCATTTTCTCCCACTTTATCATACCACCATCCACAATTGGCTTAACACATACTATTTTCTCATCAGATGATGTTGTTGGAACCTAAATAGCACAGACACAGATGCACCAGCATTCCAATTTTCCAAAAATGTAGAACACGACATTTTTGAAAAACGTTAAAATTTTATATTTTTCACAAATTTATTATGTGCCATATACAGTGTTTTAAAAGGCGCGCGTAAGCGCAAGGCACAACGAGGCGCACCCTTGCGCTTCAAACTGGTCAAGGCGAGGCGCAGGCACGGATTTTTTTTTCGAGGCGTGAAGCGTGGCCTTCATGGGCTTTACTTATTTTTTTATTCCAACTGTTGATTAAGTGCTTTTTA